AGGCTCTAGTTTGAAGGCTAAGGCTAGGACTGTGAAGGACACAGATTAAGTGTGATTTTCACCCTCAAGTAGTTTACAAAATACTGGGAATACAAGAATATGACCCATGAAACAACCTGGGAAATATGAAAAAAGAACACAGAGACTGACTTGTGTGATATAAACTGCAGGCATTGTGAATAGACAGAAAAGAGATCTCAATTGCAGAAAGGGCACTTGATTAATTTTTCTGAGAGAAGATGGAACTATACATAACTTTAGCCTTAAAACAATAACAGTAACAAACACACTTTCTAATCCAGATACATCTAATCTGATGAAGTTTTGCTTACCAAAATGTACAGCTTATTAATGACGTTTTGGTTTTGAGCTTGAATATGTTAACTGTCCAATCTGAACTGATTGCCAATACATTTCAGAGTTAAGTTGTTTAAATATTTTTGCACACCTTCCTCAGTGAGAAAAACCCCTTGGTTTTTATGTTTAATTTCAGGAAATTAACATCTTTTTAGATAGGGAGCTCAGTATTGCAGCCAAAGAATTTAGTAATGAGCAACACATTCTTCAAATGGTGGTTGGTCAGTTTTAACTCCATTGACTGTTTCTATCAACACAGACTCAAAATCACCATCCTCTGTTTTCCTCTCACTACTTTTTTTTTTTTCTTCAAGGAAAGAATATCAACCAAGTAATGAAGAAATAAAATCTGAAAAGAATGTCTCACAGGCTAAGGGACTCACTCAGCAAGAGACGATGGCAGGGTTAGCTCAAAATTAAATTAATCCCCAACCTTTCCTGTACCAATGGTTGACATCTAACTTGGCTAATCTGGGAAAAACTGATATATTAAAATAACTTTAAAGATAGGTTCTTGGGTTTTCTGCCTGCCAGCAGATAAAGGTTGTGGATATACAGGGCAGTCCATCTGCCTGATACTTCAAATAAGATCTAAAAAGAATGCTGGTATCACAGAATACCATCAAAATTGTTTTTCATTTGTTACTTGAGAAACGTGTAGCTTGCTCAATTGCTACTGACCCATGTTCTGCAAACTTCTGCCACTAGATTATGTGTTGATGCAGTTCGGGATTTTGTTTATATTAGGTATCTGATATCTATAGGTCAAACAAACATAGGCTTTGAATCAGATTCCTATAGGTTACATGTATAATAGTTCCTCTTTTCACATTGGGAGGAAAGACAGTGAGAGACAATTCAAAGACTATCCCAAATAAACAGACAAAAGTAAGGCCACAAATGCTGCCCTGTACAGACCTGTTCTTACTCAGTTCTCCTTAAGGAGGTAACACCTACTGACACAAGGACAGATAATTATGTTCAGTGTTCCACAGTCAGACTGTTTAAACACGCATTGCTACTTCATTTGTTTTCTTTATCTGCTTTTCTAATGTGCTGATGTATTTTGGCTAGGGAAAATTTCATTCAGATGGATCCAGAGAAGAGAAGGGCAAGGAAAAGAGCCACTACTACCCAGACTTTCAAGAAAGGGATGACAAGACAGAAAAAAAATATTTCTCTTATGTGAACAGTTGATTGCATCAAAATTTAAATTGTTATCAGAACTTCAATGGCATTACCAGGAAAGGTAGTTAGATAAAGCCTCAGGTTAATTTCCATCATTACCAAGCACTTTACACCACTGACAAATTTTAAACATATAAAGAGATGTCAATCTTGCTCTTTAGACAGAAAAACAAGGTGGGGAGTGGTGGCTCTTCAAAGGCTGTCAGTAGACAAGTCAGTCAATTACAGATCTGATTTAGTTCTTAACTCCTGGAGGTAAAAGACAAATGTTCTGCAAGAATAACCATTCCTGACATGCATTAAATGAAACAACTATTAAAAACTATGCGATCATGATAATACAGATTGAGGTGAAGGGCTATGAAAAGAGTTGAAAAATCAGAATCAGATATTTGAATCCAGATGATAAATGGGTAAATCGAAGCATTTTTGCTATTTGTAGGGGGTGGAATGTCCCTACTATTAGTCGTCAGAGATAATTAGCGGCAAGGAAAGGCATTATTGTGTGATTTTTCAAAGCCAGGAACAGAATAAATGTGTTCACATCCCAGTTCTACCCCAACTGTGTGGCCTTGGCTTAGTTACTTAACCTCTCTGTATCTCTCTTTATCTTTGAAATGGGGATGATGGTTTCACTGACCCCATAGTGCTGTTGTACAAATTTGAGTCCTTGCCGATAAAGCAAAATCTGTTGAGCTTTCAATCAATATCATAATGAATCCATATGCAGCAATAACTTCCAAGATTTAGGAAATAAATACGGTATTATAGAATCCTTCAAATGTTTACAGATGATACAAGCTTTGAATGTTTACTGATGAAGCACATCATTTCCCCTTAAGCAGGGTTGCAAGCTTCTATGGCCCCAGTGAATACTCCTGAAGTTAGAGGGAACTTATTAACACCTTCCATAGCGTCCTTTTAAGATGATAATTTATCTTTTTAACTGTACTCAGTAAAAGCAGTCAAAAAGAGCCAGGTGGGAATAACAACATGGTATTATATATAAACATAAGGTTTACCAGTTCTACAGATTCTGCTGCAAGGCACACTAAAATGGAGTAAAATGTAACTTATCCTGAACAGTTGCTAGAATGAGTTACCGGAGGAATGGCAAGTTTACAGATGAAGCAAAAGAAACCCAAGGGAGTTGAGGGCTGTGACCATTTTATTTAGGATGCATAGTTGTAAAACCTAACTTAAGGCATACAAGTAAGGTCTTTGGAGAGTTTTCTCAGAGGTTTGCTAACAAATGCGAAAGTCTATAAAATATGTGCTTTTGAAATAACTCTGTGAAAGGATGGTTTGAGATTCCACGGGGAGTGCCTTTATACCTGTCAAACCCTGGTAATTTGGTTGAAAAGAGAATGTCTCGTTGTTTGCATTTTCTCTGTCCCCAAAAGATCTCCTTGGCCACTTTTTATATCTATCCTCAGCTTGACTGCTGACAAGAGTATTACATGGCGTTCCTTTGTTCTGAAAGGGCATCCTTTAGTTTCACACTAGTCTCAAGTTCACATAACCTGGCAATCCCATGCACCTTTCCATCTGTTAAGGTTTTCCTGTGTAGGGTGCTGCTCTGAAACTCATTTTAAATATGGAATTGTCATCCTTTACTGTTAGTGACGAATCCTTTTCTTGCACTGTAATGCTGAAGGTGTGAATAGAATTCTCCATTGACAGTGTCTGTGAAGAAGATATTCATGGACAACTACATGGCTCAAATAGAAAAATTCAATTGGCGCTTCCTGGAAAGCCTCAGTTTACTTTATAACTCAGTATTTCAAAGAGTTTTACAGAAATTCTAATTACTGCATAAGAAATAAGTCAAATTCCTCTTCTCTCACTGTAAAGGGCTTTTATTACCCACTGCTATAAAACATACATCTTTTTTTTTCTGTTGCTATCCTAGCTGAGTAGCTTGCATACCAATAGGATCACTAAAATGCCACGAAGCAGAACATATTTATCTGTTAAATTCTATGTACAGTAACCTAACAAATGCCAGAGACAGAAAGATTGCCCTCTGCACAGTAATACTTGTGTAGATGTCTTCTTTATGCTAACAATGACAGGACTTCATGCCTTGTACTGCACACAAAAATCAGGGTGCATTTTTTTTCAATAGAAGACTCTGTATCAAAAAGAAAAAGAACTGCACATTTTTGGCATTGAGATATTTTATGTGGATAATAAATTTTTTCCCTCGAACTCCACTAACTACAAGTATCTACCTAGAAGATGAAATGTAAGATTTATGTCATCAGAACTATTCAGTATACCAGAGGATAATTTTTTCTTCTTTTCAGGACTGTCAACTTTGTTTACTGTTTATGTTCAATTCTATCCTACATAAGAGATTAAATAGCCTTGTCATAGCCACAAGTCAAAGCCTTCTTAGAAAAATAAGGTAATAAATGCAAAATTAAATTAATAAGGAGTACTTTCAAAGACATATTACATTTATTGAAATCTAAATTGTAACTGGAATGTTCTAATTATATTTGTACTCATCAAAAAGAGATTTTTGAGTCTATAATGTTACGACATTTTAGTATGTTTTAAAATGGATATGACTAAGGAATGATTCAAATATTGTAAATAACTTCAAGGAGACACGTATGAAGTAATGTAAGCACAGGAATTGCTTACATAAATCACCATGTATACTGTCGAATCTACTAGCCTCTCACATGCATTTTTAATCCAAACTTAATCATTTGGCTATTGAAATCATTCTTACAAATTGATCTGAGACAGTGTTATACAATCATAAGGGTGTCTTAAAGCCTTACTACATTAATTTTCTGTAAAACAATTTCAATCTCAAAACAGCAAATAATCACATGGATAACGACAGTAACTGAATCCTAACTAATTGTAATACTTCTGCATAGCCAAGTAACAATTTATAAATTGTGAAGAATAAATCTATTTGATAGGCCTGTTAGCAATAAGGCCTTCAGCTTTTTGCTTGGCAACAGGATGAAGTAAAATCTATTATTTTGTTGCTTTTGTTAAAAATATTTCAACAGTTAGTTATTTTTCACAGAAAATGCTGCAGGAGGGTTCCAGGTTAAAAAAAATCTTAACACGGTTGAATTTTACACTTGGCTATTATTGGCCAGCATACATAATAAGTTAAACCATATTGAGAAATTAATATTTTTCTAAGAGGGAAAACTTGATAGAGAATTATATATTTACATTAGAGAGTGGATACTCTAATCTTTCTGGCATTGTAAAACTGAAGCTGGCTGCTGGGAAAATAAACATTATAATACCCGGCACTTAAACAATTGTACCTATATGGTTAAGTAACAAAAGCGTGAGGCACCTGGAATCACAGTATTTGTGCCTAATGCCAGCAACAATATAAAGCATTCAAGTGACATTTGATAATGAGCAGACAGTGGAGGCATTACACACGTCTTTAGAAGAATCAGACTTCCTACCTTGAAAAGACAGATGGAGGTAAGTTCCTTTATATTAAAAAAAAAAAGTTGTAAGTAAAGCCAGGCAGCAGTTGCAGTAAATTGAGTCCTTTCAGTCACTGTATACATACAGCAGTTCTGCAATAAGGGGAAAAATATAATGGGAGGAGCGGCTGTGAACGAGTGACCTCCTCAAGCTGAGTCCTCTCTGTGAACCAGGCATTGAGAGCCACGGCTCCTGATTTGCATGGATTATCTCCACTTGAACAGATACAGAGCAGATACATTTAAATTGAGCTGGCACAATGGCAAAAAGATGGAAGAGTGCGTGAATGAGGGAAGGCGAAAGAGAGGGAGAGGGAAGGCGCAAGAGAGGGAGAGAGAAAGAGAAACAGACACGAGATCGGAGAGCGTGGATAAGCTGGTTCTTGGAGAACTGTGCCTCAGAAGAGCTACAGCTCCCTCTTCATGTCACAGTTGTAAGATAAGAAATGTTGTCATTAAGAACTTGTTAATCGTAGAGAAAAATATACTCGGATTAGCTGATGTTCGATCCAATCCAATTTTTATGAACATTTTATGATCCTCCCTATTTTGTCATTAGGGTTTCAGACAGCATACCAAAAATCTTTTATTAGTAGCCAGGTAAACAAATTTGGCTGAAATTCTGAGTTTTGAATGAGATCAGTGCTTTGACTTGAACGGCGTAGACAGCAGTGAAAGAACACAGACAATTCGTTAAGTGGAATATTTATTTTGAAAGAAAATTAATCCCTGTTAACTTTCAAAGAGCTAGTGATATGTACTGTAATGTAAATAGAAAATAGTACTTAAATATCTCTTAATGATTAATTATCTCAAAAGAACCCAATTGTACTACTGAATGGTAGCTTTTTAAAAATGTCTTTAAGTTGCTATTTTTTTTTCATATTGCTTTTGTTGGCATTTCAGGGTAACAGAAATTGCTCTCTTTGTACAATGCAGATGTATCTTTAAATAAACAATGGTTATTAACTTATTCATTTAGCATCTCTAGAGGTTTTCTGGGTTGTTTTATATTCATATTTTTATTTTAAAAATAAGAAAGAGGAGAGGGCAGATATGATCATAACTTGCCAACAGCCACTCAGTAAGTCCGCAGCAGATCTCAGAAAAAAAGAATAACCCTCTTTTAGCAAGCTAATGTGAAGCCTGCCTTCTCTTTGTGTAAAGGTGTCAGCAGATACTTAAACAGCCCTGCAATTAAGTGAATTCAAAGGAAAAATCAGTCAAACCAACTAGTTGACTCAAGTGATCATAGCCTTATAGGAGCTAACATTAACTTGGTGTGAATCAAATGACATAGGTTAACTATATTTCACCAAATGGCATTAAAAATCTCAACATAAACATCTAAGCACATTGCAGAGAGTAGTCAGGAGTTCAGAATGTTTGCTGCTATTGGGACTTTATAGACTGTCAGGAAAGATAAAGAACTTAAACACACTACACTTATAAGAACTCTGACTTGATGGACAGAAGTGATACTTAAAAGGAAATCTCAAGGAAAACACCAACACACATTTCCATGAGATTTAGTAGAGATCTGTAGTTTCTGAAGTATGCAGACTTAGTGACTATAACAGTGTTTAGGAAACAATTGCCTGAAAGTAAAAGGGTGAAGACAATAGTTATTTTATGTCTCTGACATCCAATAGTCTGATTGCTCTCTGAGTGGATGGGTGAGTTCTCTGGGTTCTTTTTCTATCTATTTGAACACAGCTTATACACAGGTTGGACTTGTAATGTTACTGAGGTCTTAATATTACTTTTCAGGTTGTAAACTCTTTTGAATCGGGGACCATACAGTTTCCTCTAAAATATCTCTCCAAATATTTTGAAAGTGTCCTTTACATATTGTAGATGTTTCATCAATTTTTGCAGAAAAAATATTCAAAATAACAGCAAAGCATTTATATTTTCTATACCAGTTGTTTAATGTAAAAATTGGATTCAGAATTAGGTCTTCTGTACTGTCATGAATACAAAGGGAAATGTAAATATAAATATCTTGCCATATAAAGAAAAGCGATAACAGTACCAGTAGTACTAGATTGTATATTGACATGTAACCATAGTTAGGTGCCCCTTCTTTAAACTAGGGGATGCCTTCCAGATGGCATATTTAGGGGTCTGAATCATAACTATCTGGGCACCAGTTTTGTGACTCGGACATTTATCTGTCTGACCACGGTCAAGTTACCTAACTTCCCTAAAAATATGGATAATACAATAACCTTACTTATATAGTTGATGTAAGAAATAAAAGAAAAGGCTTAGCATAGCACCTGCATAAACACTTAATCAGTGTAAGGTATAATTATAATTATTACAAATCTGTTTCCATTGAACTTCATTGTCTATCTCTAAACTGGGAAGTGTTATTATGGTGTCTACTGAATGTAGAAAGCAGATGGCTCTGTTTGTTATTGGCTTTTTCTGGCCGGTGTATGAGAGGGGCTCCTTCCTATTCCCTGACAACCAGAAAGAAGGGTGCTTTTACCTTTTCATAAATGACAAAAATAGGAATACTGTTCTCAGGAGAACCAGACAGTATTGTAGCAGCAGATCCAACCTTCTGTACAGGAATGGAAATGGCTTCCGTGGTACAATGTGAAGGGCACCCAGAAGCTCTCTGGTCCAGAAATATCTTCCCGTCTGTCTTCTCCTACTTCCTAAAATGCCACCATTAGGGGTTCATTTCTATGTTTTACTGGCTTCCCAGTCTTTTTCAATTCACTTACTACTGGCAAAATTAACCCATGAACAAAGTTACACTTAGAGCGACACGTGAATTCACAGTAGTTTTAATTATTCTATCAGAGATACTTTGTTCCAGTAACTAACTGAAGATCCATATGCCAAGTAAAGTCAGATTTCAGTTAAGGTAGAGAGAAAGCACCTCTGTGTGGGGGTGACATCCTAATGAAGATGGTGCCACACCTGTGCTCATGTGTTCTTGGGTCTGCTAGTGTGGGAGGAAACTTGCAGCAGGAACTCAGAGAATGACTGTGGAGGTGCTGGCCGAGAGATTCATTCACTCCTTCAACGAAAATGCAGTGTTTTGTCAGCAAGAACCTAGGGTGTGTATATATATATATGAAAATGTATCATCCTTGCCTTCAGTTTTTAGTGGAAGTGTTAGAAGCAGATATATAAACAGATTGATAGTAATCTTGGGCAACTGTACAAAGGAAAAACATACAGGGGAAAGAAAGCAAAGAAGGGGGCAATTAAGGAGTTCTCTATAGTCTAGATGATGCTTGATGTGACTCTTGATGACAGAGTAGGAGCTGTTTGGGCAAGGGATGCAGAAGGAGGTAAGGGACTCAGGAGGAGAAGGCCAGGGTGAATGAACACGAAGACAGAGGCAGGGCAGCAGGGGAGAGCACCACGAGCTGGGGCAAGCTAGGGCAATCGGTGTTATTTGCTCAGAGCATAGAGTAGAGGATCAGTGGGAAATGGAGACAGACCAACTGAAATGTTAGGGCACGACTGGGGTGCAGGCCACAGAAAGGAGCCACGAGGCATAAGCATGACGGATCATTTGCACCTCCTGAGCCTCACTCAGCCTTTGCCTTGAGCATGTGTTCTTCCAGGCTCCCCAGACCTGGGAACACGCACATAGAGAAATGTTTAAATGACAAGGAGTGCTGTCTACTGTGAGAAAAAGGGGGATGTAGTGCCAATTAGACTAAAGATCTAAGTATTTGGGGAGTTGAAATAGTCCAAAATTGTTTGTATCTGCCACCCTGTTTCTTAACCCAAAATGCTGTATGGTATATTCTTATATGAACTAAAATTAATTGTATTTGGAGACTTCAGGCGCAGCAAATCAAGGTGGGAATTGGTGCTGGAGTGCTGGAACTCATTTAGCATAGAAAAAGTATCACACATTGAAATGTTTAGTGAGACAGATTACCAGCATTAATGCCATTAATACTAATGATGGGTAATAATTGAACAAATATATTTATAAAACAATAATGATAACAGAGTCAACCCAAATAGCAAACCTCTCATGTCTAATATAAGACATTATAAGCTTCTCATTCTCTATTGCTTGAATTTTAGTGATTTTGACATATTTATCCAGAAAATATCGAAGCTTCTATACTTAACCTAGGAATGACAAATTGCTTCTTGTAAATATTACACTTACAGTAAAATTCACTATAAGATAAATGATTACATAGATATTGGACCCAGTAGTGGGAAACATATTTGAATTCTAATAAGGACTGGTTCAAGCTTAAAAACAATTAATAACTGTCAATTTCCCATAAACACAATGACAAGCAAAACCTCTAGAAAGGGCACCCAAACCACAAATGATTAAAAAGTTATGCTGATTAACAGAATGACTGAATATATGAGGATTCTTTAAAATTATCTTTCGATGGTAGCCTTCCCTCCTCACCCCCACTGGCTACAATGGAGGTTGAAAGAGTGGTTTCATTCAACATTCTAGTCTTTCCCAAATATTTTAAAACCACTTAAAGTTCCATAGCAGCCAGGAGGGTATGCTATTTAAGTTTCCCTTCAATAAAAACCTTGTGGTTCTGTGGCAGGGAATGAAGTGAGCTAACAGACTTCACCTTCAGAATTCACCTTATCAGGTAGTTTTTAGATAACGACTAAGCTCAATGGGGTTCTTTAGGTCTGTTTCTGCCCAGTGCAGGATTCCTCTCATGGGTAGTTTTTATTCCTAGTTCCATTTGGGTTGGTCAAGACTGTCGGGTTTGCACTGTGGTCTAAGGCTTATCTGCTCAACCCCTGACCCTTACCTCTTTTGATTTTCAGAGATTTAGGTCCCTGATCAAACTCTGAGATTCTTACATTCTCATTCACTTTCAGTGTTTGCTTCCTAGCAGACACAAGTTCCTAATGATTAACAATTTTTGTTTAATGCAGAACCAACCCTTTTTTCTCATTCCTTCACTTCAGTGTTCAAAGAACTTGGTTCTTGCTCTCACGTATCCATCTCATGTCTCCTAGACAGCTCCTTTACTTCCCAGATATTCTTATTTTTGAAACAATATTCTTTGGAGAGGCAGAAGTTCTCCAGGACTTGCTCTTACTGAATTGGGTCTCAGGTTACTGCTTTGTTTCCACATCTCTGTTGTACAGAGTACAAAACATAGGCACACTACCAAACACAGAACTGAATAGTCCAAAAGACTTATTAGACTAACTGCAACAGACAGGCAGCACAAACAACAGGCTGATGTACTT